GCCCCTGCATGGACTAAGCTGCCTGGCTCAGCAGAAGTCCTGTCTTGAATAGCTTGGGAGAGTGAAGGACTGGGACAAAAGAGGCATTTATAGCAGTCGGTTCAGGATGGCTGCAGACAGACAATGGACACATTCTTCAGTTCCTAAAACAAATAACTGAGTGCAGTGTGCCCTAGCGAGCTGGGCAGAGGGCAGCAGGACTGGGAGTGCTACATTTCAGTGGTTGCGCTGTTGCTGGCTAGGAGAAAAAGTCAGTTTACTCCCAGGGGTAGCTATGAGTCATATAACAGAGACCAAAATAAAGCAGCTAAATAATCAGCCCTGAGGGAGACACACACCACAAGCATGGCGGCATGTTTCCAGGATAGTGCCTCTCACACCTGGCCTTAAGGAATCTGTGGTAACCTGAAGCCATTTTTCAAGAAATACCAAGTTCTTTACACGATGCAGCTTTCTAGTGATCAGAGACACCGTCCAAGTCAATGCTATCAATACACCAACACTCCGTAATCTGTGGGCAGCTGAGGCTGACAGCAATGTCACCAGGTTGGGTCCAGAGGGTGTGTTGGTCCAGCAAAAAGTGAGAACAGACCTCTCCTCAGCTTTCCTCAGATGTGGGCCAAGGAATAGACAAGGTCAGGCCCTGTGCCAGCTGAGGATAAGATCCAGCATGATTGTGATATTTCATCCCCCTCTGAAGAGTGCCGTGATGGAATCAGCTGTCATTGTGGACTGTAGATCCTATAATGAAGCCTCAGCTTTCTTTGCTGTTGATAATAGGCCACCAGGGAGTTTGTGCTGCATTTTCACAAGCAGTGTAATCTATATTAGTCTTACCTTACAGCAGCAGTGGTGATAATGAAGCAAACAGACATCTTTTGTCATCTTTTGAGTTCAAGAAAGTGGATTATTTTATGAAAAACCCACTTTTTCTTTTTGTTGACAAACATGCATAAATGATTCACCAAGCCTCACCAGCTAAAAGAAATGTAGATATTTGTCCTCACAACCTCTAGATAAATTTATCGAGAAGCATTCAAAAGAAGAGGGGGAGATTAATTTTTGTATTTGTTTAAATATAGGAGGCTGCCATTGTGCATTGCCCAGGGAGCAGTGTGGGGTTAAGAGACTTGCTCAGGGACCCATAGTGGCAGTCCGAGGGAGTGGCGCTTGAACACAGAACCTCAGGATTCCAGGCTCTATGCCCTAACCACTAGGCCACATCTTTGAAGCCTTTGGTTAGAGATCACCCCTAAAGGTGTACTAGTTTAGCAAATTTTAAAAGGAATTAGGAACAGAACGGTGCCTTCTGCAAACTTTAAACTGTATAAACCTAAACCCTAAAACTAAGCCTGGTCAGGTCCTGGTTATTTGATTGGGCATCTTTTCGTCAGTTGGATACAAGTGTGGCTGCTCAAGGCGTAGTGGTTAGCACTGCTGTCTTGCAGCAAGAAGGTTCTGGCTTCTATTCCGGCCCGGGGTCATTCTATACGGAGTTTGCATGTTCTCCCTGAGCATGCATGGGCTCTCTCCGGGTACTCCGGCTTCCTCCCACAGTCCAAAAACATTACTTTTAGATTAATTGTTTCTCTAAACTCTCTTTAGGTGTGAGTGTGTTCATGAATGGTTGTTTGTTCTGTTTGTCTCTGTGTTACCCTGTGATGGACTGGTGACCTGTCCAGGGTGTCCCTGCCTCTTGCCCGTAGACAGCTGGAGATGGGCACCAGTACCCCTTTTTACCCCACTTGAAATTAAGATTGTCAGAAAATGGATGGATATAAGTGTTATTCTGAGGTCCAGTCTCATTCCTGTCAATAACCTTCTCAAGTGAAATTGACCCACATAACCAATTAGATAAAGCAAAAACTTGGTTTACCAAATACCAAGAGTTTTTCCCCATTACATGGGGGGAATTTTACAGATGTCTGCTCCACCCCTCAATTAAAAAAAAAAAAAACTGTCTGCTAAGGACGTTTTTAACAATAGTATTTTAAACACCTTACTTTTGATTTAAAAAAAAAAAACTGGTAAATTTTGACAAAGCAATCACTATTGAACCTCACATTAGAAAAAAGGGTTAACCTTCACGACCCCTTATTATGACTCATGAAAAAAAAATCTCACAGCTACAGCTTTAATTCAAACAAAATGAAATAGTAAGATTCCGGAAGGTCACCAACACAGGTTGTTGTGAGAAGAGATTTCTTATTTGAAGTAAGATGGTTTATTATGACTGAACTGAGGGTTTATTCAGGTTAAATCCCAAGACTCAGGTAGCCAACTAAAGTTGTCAATAATAATAAGCGCCTCCAATTATTTGCCTGAACATGTGCTTTTATAGTCTATATGCTATTAGGTATAAAATGATTTCAAACTCGGAAAATGTATTACTTTGTGATAAAGGTTTGGAGTCTTTAGATCACTAAATTATACATGCACTAAAAGCAGAATGTGGAGCTTTTAAAACATTATATTTCAGTTTTCATACTGCTACCATTTTCTTGGCATTTTTTTTGATAGCTTTTAAATTTTAAAATGCGTGTATTAATACAGAAGGTGTGAGAAGAGTGACATAACAGTGAATAATAAAACAACTAATGAAGATCTGTAATCATGTTAACTTTGGTGTATGGGTTAAAAATGCTTTCAAGGTGAGGAAAAGCTCAATAATACACATTCATGCAGAGGTACTGAGGTATTCTGTTCACATCAAACAGAGGCGGCACGCTGATTAACAAAGTAAAGTTATTTGTTTCAGATTTATGCCTTAAACCTGCTCAGCTGTCACCAAGGGAACATCTTGGCATGATTCTTCTCCTTTGTTTTATCCCTGTTGTTTTTTTTTTATGATGATGATATGTGATGTGAGGATATTTTTCTTTTCATGCACTTTGCCTGCATGCAGGGTAACCCCAAGGGAGATAGATCTTTTGATCCTAACATATTATGGCTGATGCTCAGTAAATTCCAGGAGCTATCTTCTGTGTTAGGATTTAGCAAAGTAAAAGCAATTTTTAAAAGGATTTGAACCTGTCAGGTAAACCTCAATCATACTTTATTTTAAAAAATATTAACTCATTAAAATTTAGACTAGGGTAAAGGTTTTACATTTCTAAGAATATTCAGATTAGTTAATCAAACTCTGGTGGTGAAGAATGTGGCCCATCTCTGGCCAAGGTAGACACTCCATTAATAAAAAGTTTACACTTCCTAGATCAGTCTAAAACAGGTGAGAACATTAATAGGTCTCTGAGCACTAGTGGAAAAGTAATGTATGATATTTTTAAATTTAAAAGCATGCCTAAAGTTAAAATAAATACTTAAAAATTGATCTAAGCATTTATGGAAAAACAAAAATGAGCAGCAGGTTTTGCTCACATACATTTTGGTCCTCTTTACAAACACCTTAGATGTCATAAAACAAACATTGTCCGTGAAAGTAGCTGTTTTGTCACTAATAACCAAGATATATGCAGCAATGAATTTAGCATGCGATTTCAGTCACTCATCAGTGTGGAGGTGTGACCAAGACCATAGCTCAACATTACTGCACATTGGGAAGACACAAGCAGCAGAGGAATGTTTTTATCTGTTCAAAGTAGCATTTAAAGGGCTTCTCACCCAAAATGCAACCTCTTTTGTGCCAGTAAACTGTATAAATGCTTGTCTTGTAGTGCTTCTCATTATTTTGACAATTTGCTACATATTTATTATGATCCTACTTTTGTGTCTGAAACTGTTTGGCTCCCTTCTCAGGTCTTGACGGTATTACTACACCTCAGTTTTTATGAGATGCTTCCACAATAAGGTGAATTAGCCTGGATAAACTGACCCTTGCAGCTCTGGGTGCAAAACTAAAGTTCATACATGCCTTCGTTTGGACCGAGTCTAGATACAGACCCCAGTTTTAACCCTTTACTGCATATAACTGGTTATCTAAAACACTAAAGCCAACTCATTGCTCAGAATCTGTCCCTGTTCTGTCCCCATTCGGAAGCTGAGAGAGTCCTGACCGCACTGTTAGCATCTCTAGAGCCAGCATCTCAAACAGGTACGGCCCATTTCCTATGTCTGGGATAAAGACGTTGGAGAGAAATCCTTTGCCTCAGCTCCGTCACAGAACTATCTCCGTGTTTGTCCCTCAGTACAGATGATGCTGATAAATCCAATTAATTGAGTTGTACGGTGGTTTGACCTTTGCTGCCCACCTAAGCTCTGCTGTACAATTCAGCACCTATCTGATATTATTTCTTCTATCCAAGGTAATAAAAGTAGGAAGGCCAAGCTGTTGTTCAAAAGATGGAAACTGCTGTCATTTTTGAAAGTTTTTAATCACTTATAAAAATGAATCATTTATTTCTGGGGGTTTCATCGTCCAGTCCTTGTATCAGGCCATGCTAGTAATTTGTACAGTGTGTTCTGTAGTAATGGGGAAAAGGGAGAAGGTCAAGAGCATAGGAAGAACCACTAGGCCTGGTTATTATATGCAGCAAAAACACAGATTGGAGGACAATTTTATTTCAAGAAAAGGAGAAATAATCTCATAGATGCATAGTGCAGTAATTTAGACTCATTATGACACGTTTTCAGCTGCAAAGAAGTCTCTAGAGTGGCCTAATTGTGGCTTTTAAACTAAATGTGGCCCCTTCCCACAATTTAAAAACAAGACAAATTAATACATCAAGTGATGTAAAAAATTAATTGACGCATATATAATTTTAGCTGATAATAATTAAATAAATATATTTCTACATTAGACAAAAAATAGAGAGTTGTACTCCAGATTATAGGAAATTGTTTTCCTCTCATTTTGTAAGGAATGAATGCAAATCATTCTTTTAGTTTTCTGTCTACTATCATTTACAATGTATTAACAATATTTTATTTACAGAAAAATATTTTGTGTCGTCTACTTATGTATTTGAGACTCTGTGAATGTACAGCCTTGTGGTTTAATGCTAACATGCTATCTATCCTGTTGTTTTATGTGGCTGTCTCAGATGGACCCTGTCCAGAAGGCAGTGATTAATCACACGTTTGGGGTCCCTCAGCCCCTTAAGAAGAAACAGATCATCTCCTGCAACATATGCCACCTGCGTTTCAACTCAACGGTAAGAGAAGCTTTTTTTGGCTCTATAGAGAAGATGGAGAAACATGGCAATAAGAGAGAGGAAGAAACATTCAGCTCATTGACTGGTTTATTTTACTGGCTTATGAGTCTATCTCAATGAAAAATTGTAGTTTCTTGATTCTTCATCAATAGCTCTCTTTTGTGTTGCTATGTTTGTCTGTGTTCTACTGATAATCCACTTTAGGTCAGTCTTCAGCTGTTGGACAGGTGTTCGCATATTTGTGTCGAGAATAGAAGAGTTAATGGTTGATTTAAGGTGTTAAGCTACTTTGGCTGGAACCAGATCTTCAATTGACCATTATGATTGACAGTTGTATTGTTTATTTTTTCCATCATACCACTGTTAACTATTACTGACTTTTTTTCCCCTAATTTTTTACAAAAATACAAGTTGGGCTTCCATGTTCCTTCAAAGAGGAAAAAGCATTCACGTTCATACCTTTCAAATGTTCTTTACTGCTTTTTTATTATTTTTCTATTTACCCTGCAGTTGTCCCTGACTCTTAATCTTTAATCTGCTCGACCTGATGTTTGGGTGAACGTCCAATCCGGACAAAGGAACCATTTTTGTCATGATTCTTCCTTTTATGGACCTTCTGTTTCTGTTTAAGTTTTCTTTTTGGGTTTCAGTTACACATTGATTTAAGTCATTCTGTGTTTTCTAGTTCATTGATTTAATTTCCTTTTTGTTATCATTTTGTGGTTGTGTTTGAGCGTTTTTGTATTTATTTTTTACACTCTGTTGCCCCCTTGTGCCAGTCTCCTTTCCCCTAGGTCCCTTCTAGAGCTTTCTGTCCACACCTGCTCCCAATCAGTTGATTACTCCATTCATTGTTCTCTTTGGCATATATACTCTTCCTCTGCAGTTACTCTTTTCTGGATTCTCTTCGTTTGATCATTCCTTGATTTTATTCCTCCCTAATGTCTCCTAGTTTTTTTTTTTTATGTTTTTTGTTGATCAGTTCAGGATTATCGGTTCTGTATTTGTACGTCTTTATTAAATTTTGCAAGAAATCCTCTCTGCCTCTTCAGCACTGCAGTTGGGTCATTAACAATTATCCAGTAATCCTGATAATCGTATCCACTGTTTGCTATAGTGAATAATCTTTCTCACTGTCAAATGGTGGAATTAGAATAGATTGGAATAGATTTTAGAATAGATTTGAATTGTCTTTATGACCCTTCTACTATTGATGGGATGCAACAATGGCTTTTCTAAGGTCCTTGCTAAAGATAATTTCCCAGTGGCATTGTATGAATCACATGTTCTCTGCAGTCCGACAATCTTAAAAACTCACTCTGAATATTCAGTTGTGTTTATTTAACTCATTTTGCTGCTTCCATCCTATATTTAATGGAAAAAAAACAATGGATTAGTATTTCCATAATGATATACTATCTCTTTTCCTGTAAGCGCTTTGCATTTCAGTCACAAAGAATTATCTTCTTTTTGTGAATCTTATTAAAATAATTATGTGTATTGATAACTACAATGTGATTTATCAGAGCCTTGATAAAGAATATAATTGTGGTGTTGTTGTCTTTGTTCTTCTGTTTAAAGGATTGTTCAGTTTTTATTTCATTTTAATTGTTAAGCATGGTACAGTTGATTAGGTGAGAGGGAAAAGACGGCAGTGACAGACTCCATTTATCAGTACAACGCAGAAACAATCAGCAGCCACAGCAGGAGGCAGCTTTCTCAGCTACCATTCCTTCTTTTCTACAGCACACATACTTCATGACATTTCATGAACTTTTAAAAAGGAAAATAAAACAAATAGTTCAGAGAGGTGACTTCAGTCCAAGTGCAGCTAAATCTGGTACACAGGCACGTAGCTACATTTGGACTTCAGACTTCAAAAAGGTCTGAGGAGGCAGGGAGCTGAGAAGGGAGAGGAGATGCAGACGTTTTCTCTTTATTGTTACAAAGGGCCGGATTTATCAAGATCCAATTTTGCGTGCAGTAATTTGCGCTCGCAAAGTGGAATTTTGCGCGAGGGGCTGAACCATGGTTTGCGGGTGATTTAACAAGAGCGATTGCGTAACTGGTGGCAGGCGCAAAACTGTTGGAGACGCCCTATTTAAATGATGGTTTTGCGCGTTTTGTGGTTTGCGGCAAAGTAGTTTGTGCAAACTAGTGCATTAAGAAATTTTAATCTTACAGTGACACCACCCCCTCCAAAAAAAGAAATATATATATATATATATATATATATATATATATATATATATATATATATATATATATATATATATATATATATATATATATATATAAACTTTGGCAACCTTTATTCCCTAAGGTGGTATGTGGCTGAATTTCTACTTCACCGCAGTAAGAAAAAAACACACAAACAAAAAAAAAAAAACAGGTGTTTTGTATCGGCCTGTAGAACAATGCACATACCAAATGGCTCACAAGAAGTGACTGTGGATAAGATGACTGCATTGGCATGTTGCTCCACAGGCGCAGGGTGTTGGGGTTCTCCGATAGGGCGTCAGGGCGACATGGCATTTAGAACGTCGGACAGCACTTCTGAAAAACGAGATTGGGAGATCCCAGATGCAAAAAAGGGCAATGTTGCGAGGAGTTTTGTGATATCTGCATGCGTGGGTCCTCCTTGTGGCTGGCTCCAAATCCATTCGGAGTTCCCCCAACAGCTCCAAAATGGCAATGCCGGATAAACGATATGTTTTGATGATCGTTTCCTCGTTCATTCCAAAAATATTCACACGGAGTGAAAAAATGCGTTCTCTGCGTCTCATTGCTTCATTTCGATGTCTCCTTCTTGCGACAATAACCGCTGCCATGTGTGCGCAATTACGCATACAGACCATTTGCACCTTCTTTTGAAACGTGTTAAATATAGAGTCAGATACCGTTAGCAAAATTGCTTTCAGGTTTGATAAATCACTTTGCGAGTGCTAAATTAATATATTTACATGTTCTCCTCCCACAAGACGCACTTTTGCGTGTAAACGCCCTATATTGAATATTCATTGCAGAAAAAGTACTAAATGGATAAGAGGCGCTATTTAGCACGTTTTAAAGACCAAATCCTTTTAGCACGCTGTTGATAGATCAGTTTGTACATTTTTTAGCGTGCGCAGTGAAATAGCTCACGTTTTAATACACGCAAACCTTTGATAAATCCGGCCCTTAGTCTATTCAGGAGTTTTAACATTTTCAAACTTCCTGAAACCTCTCCAGAGTTTGGTATGGATTTCATTTTAACTTGCCCTAAGGCACTGTGTTCTAAGAGGAACATTTATTGAGTGGAAGTTTACAGATTATTTTAAACCGCTATTAAAGGCTATAATCTAATCTATTTAGAGTTGTCCAATCACAAAAAATACAAATCTATATTGTATTATTTTAATTAATAACTTTTTTCTTTATCTTTTATTGAATATTTTAAGCTTGTGGGTCTGGGTACATTGGTGAGAAACAAAATACTGTATCAACATTTGATTTACCCAAAAATAATTGAATTTGTAAATGTGTTTGCACCAACCAGCTGACCCCACCTCATGACATTTAAAGTTTCTAAAGCATTTTTTCTGTGTATTTTATAAAGTGAATTAGCAATCACACAAATAAAAATGTTTTTAAAATCCTTTTACACTTAGTTTGGGTATTTTTTATTATTTCCTGAAGAATAACCATTGGACACAAGAAAAGACTCGGCAATTCAAAAAGAGTTATCCAGTTTTAATGATGTAATAGGATAATTTGAAAAATACAAGTGAATAAAATTAAAGAAATTAAACTTGAGGACTACTGTCTTGTTTTTTCTTCTGTAAATAATCAAACATTGTTATCTTGTGCTGTCACAGTTAGATTAGCATGTCACTTTAAACAAATACTGGAAGTGTGTTTGAAAATACTTTTGTTATGATTTTTTTAGATAACATCTCTATTGGAAACATTATTTGGAGCCGCATCTGCCTGGATTTGTTGTAATATTCTTTAAAGACGGTGAATTTTTTTGCTCAGTGTAGAAACTATTTAAATAGTTAAACATTTAAAAGTATTTAACAGTGTATTATTGGTCTAATTGATAGAACGACTGCAGGAATAGGTTTCTCATAACAATTAATTTGAATATTTTTGTATGAATTAATTTGTTTCTCATGTCAGTTAATTAATACAAAAGTATTCATACCACTTGGATTTTTTTTTACATTTTATTCTTTCTCAGCCACAAATTTGCCAGGTTTGTTTTTTAAGGATTTACTAGGGAAAGCATAAAAGCATTTGTAAGTGTTGATTTGATTGATTTTTTTAATTTACACATATTTCTAGTTCAAATTAGGTCTGATTTTTATGGAAGACGATAAAGAAAAATTCAGCCTTTTTTTCTCAGACTTCTTAGATTGAATTAAAGTTTTGAAAAACAAAAAAAAGTAAGATCTTTTTTTCTTAGAAGCCCTTATCCTCTTCTGCAGCTCTTTAATTGGGCCTTTCCAACAGATAGATGAGCTTTTATTTAAACAATTCAACTGTAGCTCTTTCTGTATATTTAGTGTATGTTTTTGAAGTCTTAAGCCTATTGCTGTTGCTTATAGAATCTAGGTTTCCATCTTTTTCACCAGTTTTTTTGGTCCCTCCATTAGAGAAGTTTCCCACCAGCATGATGCTGCCACCACCTTGTGTCACCCCTTGAGATGTTATTTTATAACATAGGCTTACGTTAAAGCTTCCACAAATTAACCTCTGGCCCTTCTGGTATGTTGTTTGTTTACCGTTATATGTTTGATAACTTTTCTTAGCCAGTTCTCTCTTGCAAATAGGTTTAAGATCTCATTGGGACTAACCTGATTAAATAAGCAATTAAAAAAATCTAACTAAAAAAATCAAATAAACCTGTGAGGCTTTCACTAAATAGTTCAAATTTAACTGACATTCAATTCAATTCAATTCAGTTTATTTATATAGCGCCAAATTCACAACACATGTCATCTCAAGGCACTTTACAGTTCAACCAGATCATACAGTCAAATTGATACAAAGTTTTCTATCTAAGGAAAACCAGTTGATTGCATCGACTCAAATACAATCCCTCACACTAAGCATGCTTGTAGCGACAGTGGAGAGGAAAAACTCCCTTTTAACAGGAAGAAACCTCCAGCAGAACCAGGCTCAGTGTGAGCGGCCATCTGCCGAGGCCGACTGGGGTTCAAGGAGACAGAAGCAGAGATACAAAAAGCAGCTGTAAAAGGCGGCCCCGTCCTGGAAACACACAGCAAGGCAGACGAGCTCCAAGGCAGCTCCCATGCCAGAGGACGAAGAGAGCACATCCATCCAGTCACGGTCAGAGAAACAGGACCACTCTGGAAAACAGGCCGATCTCCAACATCTATAAACAAGGGTGTTGATGGAAGCAGCACAGCTGATGTTTCTTTCCAGGATGACGTCACAGCCAAACAGGAACAGACGAGGCAAAGCTACTCTGAGGAAAAGCAGAGAGAGCAGAAGGTTAGAGATTGAACTAACAGATTCTGCAGTTAGGAGAACAGAGAGAGAATGAAGCAGAATGATGAAATGGGGGTCCCTATGTCCTCCAGCAGTCTAAGCCTATAGCAGCATAACTATAGAGATAGCTCAGGATAACCTGAGCCACTCTAACTATAAGCGTTATCAAAAAGGAAAGTTTTAAGTCTAGCCTTAAAAGTAGACAGGGTGTCTGCCTCACGGACTAAAACTGGTAGTTGGTTCCACAGGAGAGGAGCCTGATAACTAAAAGACCTGCCTCCCATTCTACTTTTAGAAATTCTAGGAACCACTAGTAAACCTGCAGATTGAGAGCGAAGTGCTCTGTTAGGAACATAAGGAACAATCAGATCTCTGATATAAGATGGAGCTTGGCCATTTAAGGCTTTATATGTGAGAAGGAGGATTTTAAATTCTATTCTTGATTTAACAGGAAGCCAATGAAGAGAAGCCAGGATAGGCGAGATATGATCTCTCTTTTTAATTTTCATTAGAACTCTGGCTGCAGCATTTTGGATCAGCTGAAGGCTTTTAACTACAGTTTGTGGACTTCCTGATAGTAAAGAATTGACAGTTGACATTGAATCACTCACAGTTGGACCCATCTGTGATTTTATTACTTCTGAATGCAATTAGTTGAGCTTTTTTTTTTTTAAGTAGCCTAGTCTATTTAAAAGGGGTAAATTATATATGGGGTGATTATTGCACTTTCATCATTCGCACCATTTTGTGATATATATTTTATTTTTCATTAAATCCTATTTAATTCTTAAATTAAAAAAAATTCAGTAACAATTTTTTAAAGAGTAAAACAATTACCAATTTATGCATATGGCATATCCACAGAGCATCTAAATTATAGAAATATTTTCCACTTCCAATTTTAACAGGAGTATTTCCAATATAAATGCTAAGCTCACCAACCCAGCAGACAAAAAAATATGAAAAACAAGGCTTATTATATTAAACTAAAACTATAATTTTAGTTTAACCTTTACTGTTTTACGGTCATGATCTGTATAAAAGTAAATATATCCACTCTGGTCTGGTAGTAAACTATCTACGTCACACTGTTGGTTACTTGATTCCTGGCTGTTTTCATCTCTGCTCTATCTGATTCCAAATTGAGCAAACTGTAGCTCCTGTTCTTAGCTGGGCTCAACAGTAAGAACACTATAGTGGGTCGAAAAGGAACTCTGGACTGCTGAGCTAAATCCAAACTGCATGAGCCTTTCCGGATGTCATTACGCTACGAAAACGGAAACTGTACAGTCTTAATGTCCAGATAAGAATGTCGGGAAGTCCCTATGTTAAATGCACTATAGGTAGGAAGGTTTCTGCTCATTTCTTTCAAGCTGATTGTGGTGTTTGTATCTGAGCACATGCCATCTATGGTTAGATATAAGCAAAAAAAATAATAATATCGGGGAAAAAACATAATAAACTTAAAATGGCACACACAGTGCCAAAATTATCCAATATGTCTAATGTGGAAGGACGCTTGGGTTTATTTTTTGTTTTTTAGAACTATTACATTTATTTAGGGCATGTCATTTCCCACAGTTTTACTAAAAATAAGCCAAGGGAACAAAAGTTTAAGGATAATGACCTCTTTTGCAGTCCACTCAGTGTTCATTGCTTTGTGTGTATTTTACCACTTTTGTCAAACGCACTTTCTTTAAATTTAATGCTTATACACATTTTTAATGCTCTTCTATGTTTTGCATGTCTAAACTCCAGATGCACCCTGGTTGACATGTTTTTACATGTTACTAATGTTCTTGCATTCTCTAAATAACCATTATTTTGGTTTTCATGGTCAATTAAAATCAGAATATCATCGAATAGACATTGGGCTTTAACCTTTCCCATAACATATAGGTTTAACCGATAAACTAGAGCAACCAACAGATATGTTTAACTTCTATATCTGCTTATTTTCCTGAAGAGACAGGAATGAATGCCTCTTTAAAGCTCTCGAGTGGAACTAGCTTTACACCCACTCAGCATATATATGTCTAAAGTAAGTGTACAGCGCCTGTGTTTCCTTTCATCCTAAAGTTTTCTAAACTCTGGAGAATCTAGGATCCTTTTGATGGAACAGCATCCCCTTGTAGTTTCTTTTGATTGAAGCAAAGCTCATTTCACGCCTCCTTCTTTTGTCTCCTCTGAGACCTGATCAGGAAGACAGGCTATTGGTGAGAAAGCTGATTCTAGCTGACCTAATCACACCAACACAAGCAGTCAGATGATGTGCTTATGTATTTTCGTCTGACTGTGTCTCTGCACTAATGCTACTTAAGCAGTAATCTGTTTTAATTAGCTGTGAGCTTTGATGTATTGGTGTTTCTCAGGTAATCAGATAAACTGGCATTTTGCTCTAAATTAGGGAAGTATCACAGAGTTTATACATTTTGTATCATATTTCTGGAAGTTTTTGATCAAAAAAAAAAAATCTACCTTTTCTTTTTTTGTGATAATTGAAATGTAAAAACAAAATGCTGCCAACATACTACCAAATATGCAAAGCTGAATTTATGTAAAGTCCTCCACCCTTCCCATGCTCCACATCCTATGTTCTTAGAAGTCATTTTATCTTTCATTTTGTTATATGTTCTTAATTTACTCCATACTGTATGTGTAGGTTGTGGATTCCAAAATGACATTCTATTCACCCCCAGTGGCTGATATGAGTAGATCCCCAAAGGTAGCTTTAGCTTTTAATGAGTGATCTGTGCATTGATTTCTTTACTGTCCCTATGTATCCATGGTCTGTGTGACAACAGAGCTTTTGTTCTCGGATTGAACAGGGTCTGAGGAGTGATGACAATGGAAAAGTAAATTGTCATTCACTCAGTAGGAAATCTGTATGCTTTTATTGCTGCAGTGCTGCCTGTCAGAATGTGTTTTGAGTCTGATTTGTGTTTGTGTGCTCATGAGAGCTCAAATGTGTGTAAAATTAGTATGTATTGCCAAGTGTGTCTGGGTTTTGCAGAGGCTGACTCTCACAGTGCACATTAATGGGGTAGTTGTAGAGATTGAATCCTCTCTCTTGTTGCATATTACACATGCAATTATACCTCTGGCCTCCCTGTGTGCCAGCTCCGTTATCAGGTGGAAACAGACTCTCCCTGCAGCCTCTGGATGCCTGTGAGAGAAAGAATATTCAGACACATACATTTCAACATTTATTGCATACAGGCTCTTGTCTTTCCAACGAATAATGCATTGAGTCCTCTGTGCTTCTCTCCTCTAACATGGCTATTTCATTCTTCACCATTTTCCCCCAGAACCAAGCAGAGGCTCATTATAAAGGACACAAACACGCACGGAAACTCAAAGCCATGGAGGCCCAAAAGAACAGGCAGCGACGAGGTGGGGAGATCTCAACCACAGGGAAAGAGAGGGACCGAGACCGGGAACGAGACAGAAGCAAGACGTCATCAGCTGACGCAGCTCTTCCAGCACCTGTGGATACCAGCTTAGTAAAAGAAACAAGTACGTGTACAGAAAACTGTGTATATATATATATATATATATATATATATATATATATATATATATATATATATATATATATAGCCTATAGCTGGTCTCAAACTTCTTCCTCCAGCCCTAAAATTATTGCAACACATTTGAAATCTATGTTACCTTATTCATATTCTTCCTTTAAGTACGTACATGTTAAAAGTTTTTTTTGGAGTCTTGACTACTTTATTTCAAAGTAAGAAGTCTTTCAAAAGGTAATTATAGGACACCACTGCTAAAGTTAAAACTACTGTTTTAGTGTTTATATTTAAAAACTGCTAACATTATTTGGTTGTGTAACTTTATTGCCGAAGCTGAAATATACTGATGTAAAAAACTTCAAATCACTAACTGTGTTTTAAGTCCCAAAACATTAGAAATTTCAATGACTTTATTTTTGATTTTTTTCTGACATTTTTTTTTTTTTTTACTTTAATATGTTTCTCTTGTTTAGATTTTACTATTTCCGTTTGCCAGACCAGTTCTACTGTGTTTACGTTCAGTTAATGCACAACTTAACAAAGAGGGCATTGGTGTTCTTTATTTAAGACAAGGTCCTATTTCCATTTAGTTTCTATGTCTCAATTTAAAATTTATTTGATGACCTGAAACACTTATAAAAATATGTAAGAGATTGAATATTTCATCCAAACACAGAACAATAATAAACAGATTCTAAAGTATAGTCACGCACAAAAATGTGAAATAATGGAAGGAAAAGAGCTTTAATCCTTGAAGACTGTAATGAAGGTCTTCATTACTTGGTGGTACAACACTTAAAATGTGTTAAATGATAAAAGAAATGCATGATGAAGGAAATGAACCGGATACAAACTGATTGAAATGGTTTATTAATGGTGGGTTCGGTGGCATCTCAGCTGGAACTGATTATGTCCTGTTAAAATACAACAAAGGGATGATATAAGTATTGATTGTTTAAAATGTTTGAAGGCTTGTATGGGTGTGGCTTACCTCTCTCTTCCTCTGCAGGGTGTTCAGGCTAAAAGATTCCCCGGGGGCCTGAGTACCTTTTAAAGGTTCCAGAAGAGACCAGAGCAGACGGAAGGGGGGGAGCAGAGAATTAGACATTTTATAAACTTAATGTTGGATTTGTATTTATATTGATAAAGATGTGTTTGTAGAGATGCTGAAAATGACTAGCATTGGCAATATATATTTTGAGGATTTTTGGTAGTTTGTCAAACCTTGTTTGTGTGTATGTATTTTGTTTTACCCTGTTTCTTGGTGGGTTTGTGTATTGGAACAGCCAACAGCTATAAAAGGCTGCATGTTGGCCATATTGAGTGGTTGTTGCTGCTGAGACCCTAGGCCAAAATGAGCAGAGTTTGTTTTGTTTGTTAAATGTTGGTGAATAAACACCCAGTGGGGCTGCACAGTTTCTCTGCCTCAAGTCTCCTACTTCCTCCAACCGCTAAAGGCCATTCTAACAAGTGGTGTCAGAAGCTGGGGCCGGAGTCACAAAGTGGAGTTGAGGATGACGAAAGACAGAGAAAGGAGGAAACAAGACCAACAGGAGGATCCTGATGATGGAGCAAAGTCATCTGATGACCAGGTGGGCGCGGCATCCAGCAACCCTGACAAGATTGAGGAGCTTGTAGATTTGGTGAAATCCCTCATTCAGTCTCAATCAATGAGGGACCAACAGCTGGCAAAAGAAGCTTCCCGTCGAGAGCATAGATGGAAGAGTATGCAGCATCAGTTTCACCAAATACTCAGCAAGTGAATGATCTGACACAGGATTCTGGTGGTGACCGGCTGCAGTCTGGAGCAGCACAGCCTCAAGATGACATGGATGATCCAGAAGAAGGGTCAAGTCAACAGTCTGTTTGGCCTGAGAGGGACTTCAGCATGCACAGAGAACCTAGGCTACATCCTCTATTGCCTAATGATGACATTGAACATTTTTTGACTACTTTTGAAAGAATGGCCAAAGTCTGTCGATGGCCAAAGGAGGAATGGGCTATCCAGCTAGTTCCCCTATTGACGGGCAAGGCACAAAGTGCTTATGTCTTGATGGATCTTGCAGACTCAGATGACTATGACAGAGTGAAGGCGGCCATATTGCAAAAGTATGAAATTACAGCTGAAACCTATCGTCGACGTTTCCGTTCCTTGGACATTCTTCCTGGAGAGACTCCACAAGAGCTGTATGTGCGCCTCAAAGAAATGTTTTTCAAGTGGGTTAAACCAGACAAGGCAACAGTGAAGGAGATTTCAGAGACAATGATTCTGGAACAGTTCCTAAGAATGGTTAACCCTGAACTGGAGGTGTGGCTTCGTGAGCATGACCCAAAGACAGCAGAGAAGGCGGCACAACTGGCTGAGGTCTTCACGACAGCTAGACGAGGGACGAAACACAGTACTTTTGGCCGGGACTCCAACTTTGCCCACAAAAGTAAGTCCAATGGGGATGACCGGGGTGGTGGTCAGAACAGGACATTTTCTGGTGGTAGGCAACTTTCTGCTAAGTTCAAACCTGATTCTGCAAAGAATCCCCCTTTTCGTTCTGTCAAGCGAGATATAAGATGCTTTTTATGTAATGGTCTGGGCTACACTCAGTATTTCTGCCCTCTTACTAATAAGTCTAAGCCATCACTGTTTTGCACTGTCCCCAGACCCACTACCTATGCCTTTCATGATGTTGCTCATACTGCACCAGTTTTGATTAATGGGCAGCGTGAAACAGCCTTGCTAGATACAGGAGGATTTCAGACTGTGGTTATGTCTTCCTTAATACCTAGAGAAAAGTGGTCTGAGGAGAAATGTCACATAAGCTGCATACATGGGGATAAGCATGAATATCCAATGGCTGACATATATCTAACTGTGGGAGGACACAAATTTTTTATGGCGGTAGCTCTTGCAGCAAAGCTGCCTTATGCTGTTATTTTGGGTAATGATGTCCCCATTATTGCAGATCTCATTCAGCAAGCAGAGCTACATCCTCCCAAAGTACTGAGGCCCACACACCCAGACAACTTTCCCCCCCAGAAAGTGACTGATACTCTTTTAGCCCACACCATAGAGTGCCCATGTAAAGTAGCCTCTTCAGGGCACAACATGGTCACCACAAGGGCTCAGAGTGCTCAAAACACCTTGAGAGAGTTACCATTTTTTGAGGAAGTATGGGAAATGGGGCCAGTTAAACCTTATAAAACCAAGGCTGAGAGAAGGAGGGACAAGATAAGAGGTTCAGCCAAGCAAACTGACACGTTTAAACCATTCCAGCTTCTAGATGTTAATCTTCCAGCTAATGTGGGTGAGCTTCAGAGACAGGATCCAACTTTGAAATGTTGGTTTAATAAAATCATAAAGGTGGACGGGAATGCGCAGGGCACTGCAGGGTTTCTTGAGGAAGCTACTTATGTAGTAAAACGGGGAATTTTGTATCAGTGTAAAGGGAATGTGGAGTCCTTAGCATTACCACAACAGTTCAGAGAGAGAGTAATGGAGCTGGGACACACAGTTCCATGGGCGGGACATATGGGATTTCAGAAAACACTGTGTAGGATTGCCAGAAGATTTGTGTGGCCAGGAATGTATACTCAAATATCACACTTCTGTAAGTCCTGTGTTAAATGTCAACTCACTTCAGGAAAAAAGATTCCACAGGCCCATCTTCAGCCCTTACCAATTATTGGTACTCCTTTTGAGAGAATAGGGATGGATGTAGTGGGTCCTTTAGAGAGAAGCTCAGCAGGCAACAAGTACATTCTAGTTATATGCGATTATGCAACTCGATATCCTGAAGCGTTTCCCCTGAGGTGTGTGAAAGCCAGAAATGTTGCAAACTGTCTGATACAACTGTTCTCCAGAGTAGGGATACCGAAAGAGGTTTTGACTGACTGTGGAACAAACTTCAGGTCTAAGCTGTTACAACAAGTCTACCGGTTGCTAGGTGTAAAGGGAATTAAGACCACCCCCTATCATCCTCAAACGGACGGGCTTGTTGAGAGGTACAACCAGACTTTAAAGAATATGCTACGCAAGTTTGTTTCCACTACAGGAGCAGACTGGGACCAGTGGTTGCCCTATTTGCTGTTTGCCTACAGAGAGGTCCCACAGGCTTCAACTGGATTCTCACCATTTGAACTACTCTATGGACGCCAAGTGAGAGGACCATTAGACCTCCTGAAAGACTACTGGGAACATCCTGAATCAGCAGAGGAAAACATCGTGGCATATGTGGTCAAGATGCGACAGAGGTTGGAGGAGATGACAGCTCTGGCACAGGAGAGCATGAAGACGGCACCACAGAACCAGAAAAGATGGTATGACCAGAAATCTAAAGAGAGGGTCCTGAAACCAGGCCAACAGGTCTTATTGCTGTTACCAACCTCAGATAACAAGCTGCTTGCCAAGTGGCAGGGTCCATATGAAGTGACTCGGCAAGTGGGTAAGGTCACATATGAACTGTTTATGCCTGACAGAGTGAAAAAACATCAGACATTTCATGTGAATCTGCTGAAAGAATTCCAGGGGCGTCAGAGACCAGTGCAGCAGCTCTTGATTTGTGAAGTTCAAGATGAGGAGGTGAAGGAGAAGTTTCTGCCCTCCGACGAAACACAGATCGGGGTGGTTGATCTGTCTCATCTGTTAGCAGTCCAGCAGGAGGAGGTTGCAGCCCTTCTGGATTCGGAACTCTTTTCAGAGGAGCCAGGTTTTACAGACCTGGTACAACATGACATCCGTCTCAAGGAGGATGCACCAGCTCGGCAGAGGAGCTACAGGATTCCTGAGCGGTTGGTGCCAGAGCTCAAGAAAGAGATCAACTTTATGTTGGAACTTGGCATCATTGAAGTATCAACCAGTGAATGGTGCAGTCCTGTGGTTCTTGTACCTAAAAAAGATGGTTCACTGGGATTTTGTATTGACTTTCGTTATCTGAATTCTCTGTCTCAGTTTGATCCTTATCCTATGCCCAGAATAGATGATCTGTTGGAAAGAGTGGGAGGAGCAAGGTACATTACTACACTGGACTTAAGTAAAGGATATTGGCAGGTGGCGCTAGCACCGCAGGCCCGCAAGCTCACTGCATTCAGAACACCATTTGGTATGTATCAGTTCAAAGTTATGCCATTTGGTTTACAGGGAGCACCTGCCACTTTTCAAAGAATTATGGACCATGTTTTGAGAAATGTGTCAGACTTTTCAGCAGCCTACTTGGATGATGTGGTTGTGTTCAGTCAAACCTGGAAGGACCACATGTTCCATGTACAACAAGTGTTGGGATGCATCAGAGCAGCTGGTCTGACCATCAACCCCCAGAAATGTGCCATTGCCCAGAGAGAGGTGGCCTATCTAGGTCACATCATTGGTTTTGGCAAAATTAGACCACAGGTGAGGAAAGTGGATGCTGTTCGTACTTTCCCTGTACCTACAACAAAGAAGAAGGTGAGGAGCTTCTTGGGCCTGGTTGGATGGTACAGGAAGTTTATTCGTCATTTTGCAGAACGCTCAGTTGTGTTAAACAACCTGATAAAGGGCAAGTCCACAAATAAGATCCAATGGACTGAGGAATGTAACAAAGCGTTTGAAGATCTTAAAAATGCTATCTGCACAGACTCTGTTTTGCACACCCCTGATTTTGAGAAGCCTTTTACACTGCAAACAGATGCTTCGGGAGTGGGTCTTGGGGCTGTTTTGTTGCAGGAAGTGGATGGAGAGATGAAGCCGGTGGTGTTTCTGAGCCGTAAGCTTCTGGACAGAGAAACTAGATATTCAACGGTGGAGAAAGAATGTCTAGCCATGAAGTGGGCCATCGAATCATTGAGATACTACCTGCTGGGACGACATTTCTTTCTGGAGACGGATCACCGGGCCCTCCAGTGGCTGCATCGGATGAAGGATGCGAATGCACGGATTGCTGGATGGTACCTCGCTCTGCAACCATATAACTTCACTGTCCATTACAAGGCTGGAAAAACCAACGCTGCAGCTGACTGTTTATCTAGGATTCCTGAAAGTTAAGGTACTGTGAGCTTAGGGGAAGGGGGGAGGAAATGTAATGAAGGTCTTCATTACTTGGTGGTACAACACTTAAAATGTGTTAAATGATAAAAGAAATGCATGATGAAGGAAATGAACCGGATACAAACTGATTGAAATGGTTTATTAATGGTGGGTTCGGTGGCATCTCAGCTGGAACTGATTATGTCCTGTTAAAATACAACAAAGGGATGATATAAGTATTGATTGTTTAAAATGTTTGAAGGCTTGTATGGGTGTGGCTTACCTCTCTCTTCCTCTGCAGGGTGTTAAGGCTAAAAGATTCCCCGGGGGCCTGAGTACCTTTTAAAGGTTCCAGAAGAGACCAAAGCAGACGGAAGGGGGGGAGCAGAGAATTAGACATTTTATAAACTTAATGTTGGATTTGTATTTATATTGATAAAGATGTGTTTGTAGAGATGCTGAAAATGACTAGCATTGGCAATATATATTTTGAGGATTTTTGGTAGTTTGTCAAACCTTGTTTGTGTGTATGTATTTTGTTTTACCCTGTTTCTTGGTGGGTTTGTGTATTGGAACAGCCAACAGCTATAAAAGGCTGCATGTTGGCCATATTGAGTGGTTGTTGCTGCTGAGACCCTAGGCCAAAATGAGCAGAGTTTGTTTTGTTTGTTAAATGTTGGTGAATAAACACCCAGTGGGGCTGCACAGTTTCTCTGCCTCAAGTCTCCTACTTCCTCCAACCGCTAAAGGCCATTCTAACAAGTGGTGTCAGAAGCTGGGGCCGGAGTCACAAAGTGGAGTTGAGGATGACGAAAGACAGAGAAAGGAGGAAACAAGACCAACAGGAGGATCCTGATGATGGAGCAAAGTCATCTGATGACCAGGTGGGCGCGGCATCCAGCAACCCTGACAAGATTGAGGAGCTTGTAGATTTGGTGAAATCCCTCATTCAGTCTCAATCAATGAGGGACCAACAGCTGGCAAAAGAAGCTTCCCGTCGAGAGCATAGATGGAAGAGTATGCAGCATCAGTTTCACCAAATACTCAGCAAGTGAATGATCTGACACAGGATTCTGGTGGTGACCGGCTGCAGTCTGGAGCAGCACAGCCTCAAGATGACATGGATGATCCAGAAGAAGGGTCAAGTCAACAGTCTGTTTGGCCTGAGAGGGACTTCAGCATGCACAGAGAACCTAGGCTACATCCTCTATTGCCTAATGATGACATTGAACATTTTTTGACTACTTTTGAAAGAATGGCCAAAGTCTGTCGATGGCCAAAGGAGGAATGGGCTATCCAGCTAGTTCCCCTATTGACGGGCAAGGCACAAAGTGCTTATGTCTTGATGGATCTTGCAGACTCAGATGACTATGACAGAGTGAAGGCGGCCATATTGCAAAAGTATGAAATTACAGCTGAAACCTATCGTCGACGTTTCCGTTCCTTGGACATTCTTCCTGGAGAGACTCCACAAGAGCTGTATGTGCGCCTCAAAGAAATGTTTTTCAAGTGGGTTAAACCAGACAAGGCAACAGTGAAGGAGATTTCAGAGACAATGATTCTGGAACAGTTCCTAAGAATGGTTAACCCTGAACTGGAGGTGTGGCTTCGTGAGCATGACCCAAAGACAGCAGAGAAGGCGGCACAACTGGCTGAGGTCTTCACGACAGCTAGACGAGGGACGAAACACAGTACTTTTGGCCGGGACTCCAACTTTGCCCACAAAAGTAAGTCCAATGGGGATGACCGGGGTGGTGGTCAGAACAGGACATTTTCTGGTGGTAGGCAACTTTCTGCTAAGTTCAAACCTGATTCTGCAAAGAATCCCCCTTTTCGTTCTGTCAAGCGAGATATAAGATGCTTTTTATGTAATGGTCTGGGCCACACTCAGTATTTCTGCCCTCTTACTAATAAGTCTAAGCCATCACTGTTTTGCACTGTCCCCAGACCCACTACCTATGCCTTTCATGATGTTGCTCATACTGCACCAGTTTTGATTAATGGGCAGCGTGAAACAGCCTTGCTAGATACAGGAGGATTTCAGACTGTGGTTATGTCTTCCTTAATACCTAGAGAAAAGTGGTCTGAGGAGAAATGTCACATAAGCTGCATACATGGGGATAAGCATGAATATCCAATGGCTGACATATATCTAACTGTGGGAGGACACAAATTTTTTATGGCGGTAGCTCTTGCAGCAAAGCTGCCTTATGCTGTTATTTTGGGTAATGATGTCCCCATTATTGCAGATCTCATTCAGCAAGCAGAGCTACATCCTCCCAAAGTACTGAGGCCCACACACCCAGACAACTTTCCCCCCCAGAAAGTGACTGATACTCTTTTAGCCCACACCATAGAGTGCCCATGTAAAGTAGCCTCTTCAGGGCACAACATGGTCACCACAAGGGCTCAGAGTGCTCAAAACACCTTGAGAGAGTTACCATTTTTTGAGGAAGTATGGGAAATGGGGCCAGTTAAACCTTATAAAACCAAGGCTGAGAGAAGGAGGGACAAGATAAGAGGTTCAGCCAAGCAAACTGACACGTTTAAACCATTCCAGCTTCTAGATGTTAATCTTCCAGCTAATGTGGGTGAGCTTCAGAGACAGGATCCAACTTTGAAATGTTGGTTTAATAAAATCATAAAGGTGGACGGGAATGCGCAGGGCACTGCAGGGTTTCTTGAGGAAGCTACTTATGTAGTAAAACGGGGAATTTTGTATCAGTGTAAAGGGAATGTGGAGTCCTTAGCATTACCACAACAGTTCAGAGAGAGAGTAATGGAGCTGGGACACACAGTTCCATGGGCGGGACATATGGGATTTCAGAAAACACTGTGTAGGATTGCCAGAAGATTTGTGTGGCCAGGAATGTATACTCAAATATCACACTTCTGTAAGTCCTGTGTTAAATGTCAACTCACTTCAGGAAAAAAGATTCCACAGGCCCATCTTCAGCCCTTACCAATTATTGGTACTCCTTTTGAGAGAATAGGGATGGATGTAGTGGGTCCTTTAGAGAGAAGCTCAGCAGGCAACAAGTACATTCTAGTTATATGCGATTATGCAACTCGATATCCTGAAGCGTTTCCCCTGAGGTGTGTGAAAGCCAGAAATGTTGCAAACTGTCTGATACAACTGTTCTCCAGAGTAGGGATACCGAAAGAGGTTTTGACTGACTGTGGAACAAACTTCAGGTCTAAGCTGTTACAACAAGTCTACCGGTTGCTAGGTGTAAAGGGAATTAAGACCACCCCCTATCATCCTCAAACGGACGGGCTTGTTGAGAGGTACAACCAGACTTTAAAGAATATGCTACGCAAGTTTGTTTCCACTACAGGAGCAGACTGGGACCAGTGGTTGCCCTATTTGCTGTTTGCCTACAGAGAGGTCCCACAGGCTTCAACTGGATTCTCACCATTTGAACTACTCTATGGACGCCAAGTGAGAGGACCATTAGACCTCCTGAAAGACTACTGGGAACATCCTGAATCAGCAGAGGAAAACATCGTGGCATATGTGGTCAAGATGCGACAGAGGTTGGAGGAGATGACAGCTCTGGCACAGGAGAGCATGAAGACGGCACCACAGAACCAGAAAAGATGGTATGACCAGAAATCTAAAGAGAGGGTCCTGAAACCAGGCCAACAGGTCTTATTGCTGTTACCAACCTCAGATAACAAGCTGCTTGCCAAGTGGCAGGGTCCATATGAAGTGACTCGGCAAGTGGGTAAGGTCACATATGAACTGTTTATGCCTGACAGAGTGAAAAAACATCAGACATTTCATGTGAATCTGCTGAAAGAATTCCAGGGGCGTCAGAGACCAGTGCAGCAGCTCTTGATTTGTGAAGTTCAAGATGAGGAGGTGAAGGAGAAGTTTCTGCCCTCCGACGAAACACAGATCGGGGTGGTTGATCTGTCTCATCTGTTAGCAGTCCAGCAGGAGGAGGTTGCAGCCCTTCTGGATTCGGAACTCTTTTCAGAGGAGCCAGGTTTTACAGACCTGGTACAACATGACATCCGTCTCAAGGAGGATGCACCAGCTCGGCAGAGGAGCTACAGGATTCTGAGCGGTTGGTGCCAGAGCTCAAGAAAGAGATCAACTTTATGTTGGAACTTGGCATCATTGAAGTATCAACCAGTGAATGGTGCAGTCCTGTGGTTCTTGTACCTAAAAAAGATGGTTCACTGGGATTTTGTATTGACTTTCGTTATCTGAATTCTCTGTCTCAGTTTGATCCTTATCCTATGCCCAGAATAGATGATCTGTTGGAAAGAGTGGGAGGAGCAAGGTACATTACTACACTGGACTTAAGTAAAGGATATTGGCAGGTGGCGCTAGCACCGCAGGCCCGCAAGCTCACTGCATTCAGAACACCATTTGGTATGTATCAGTTCAAAGTTATGCCATTTGGTTTACAGGGAGCACCTGCCACTTTTCAAAGAATTATGGACCATGTTTTGAGAAATGTGTCAGACTTTTCAGCAGCCTACTTGGATGATGTGGTTGTGTTCAGTCAAACCTGGAAGGACCACATGTTCCATGTACAACAAGTGTTGGGATGCATCAGAGCAGCTGGTCTGACCATCAACCCCCAGAAATGTGCCATTGCCCAGAGAGAGGTGGCCTATCTAGGTCACATCATTGGTTTTGGCAAAATTAGACCACAGGTGAGGAAAGTGGATGCTGTTCGTACTTTCCCTGTACCTACAACAAAGAAGAAGGTGAGGAGCTTCTTGGGCCTGGTTGGATGGTACAGGAAGTTTATTCGTCATTTTGCAGAACGCTCAGTTGTGTTAAACAACCTGATAAAGGGCAAGTCCACAAATAAGATCCAATGGACTGAGGAATGTAACAAAGCGTTTGAAGATCTTAAAAATGCTATCTGCACAGACTCTGTTTTGCACACCCCTGATTTTGAGAAGCCTTTTACACTGCAAACAGATGCTTCGGGAGTGGGTCTTGGGGCTGT